AACAGGGTTGGATCGGACAGCTTGAAGCGACGATACGACGAAGTCCCGAAACTACATCCACCAACCGTTGGCGATAATCTCGAATCCATTTCATATCACCACCTCGATACACAATGAGCGTCCGGGTAGTCGCGCGGGTTCGACCGCTTCTCAAATCGGAACGGGAGTTGGATGTCATCCTACGCACCGGATCGTCTAACCAGGCAGTGCCCGGCAAGAGCGATAAGACGAGCTCCCAGGGGAAAGGCGCACTGGCAGCCTTGAGGGATCGGGATAACCTAGTGCGAATTCCGAACCCCAAGAACGAAGGCGAAGAATACTCGTTTCAGTTCAATGCTGTCTACGATGCCGAAGCTTCGCAGCAGGAGCTTTTCGATGCAGAGGGTTTGTGACGCCAATAATCTGGGAGGTAACGACATACTGATGGAACGCACAGTTGCTCCTACTGTCAAGCATCTCTTCAATGGCTTCGACGTAACGATATTCGCATACGGGGTAACAGGAACTGGAAAGACGCACACAATGCGAGGCGGTAAAAGCCTGGCTGATCGTGGCGCCATTCCTCGTCTCCTGAGCAGCATTTACAGACGCAGCCGGAAGATGGAGAAGGACAGTGACGGGGAAACTACTGTCAAGGTGTCTTTGAGCTACTACGAGATCTACAATGACAAAGTTTTCGACCTATTCGAACCCCCGGAGAAGAGGACGCTGGCGGGACTACCTCTCCGAGACAACGGCGGCAAGACAGTCGTCGTGGGTTTGACGGAGAGGCCATGCCATACTCTGAAGGAATTCGAGCTATTGTATGATCAAGCCAATACCAACAGGTCCACATCTGCAACAAAGGTTTGCACCCACACTGTTCCTGAAAGAAGGTCGATATTAACTATTGTAGCTTAACGCCCACTCATCACGATCCCATGCCATCCTCTGCGTGCGCGTCGCAGTTACCACCGGAGATAAAACGCGCATTAGTACCGCATCTGCTATCGACCTTGCTGGCTCCGAAGATAACCGCCGGACGGATAATGACAAAGAGCGCATGGTTGAGTCCGCTAGTATCAACAAGAGCCTTTTCGTCCTGGCTCAGTGTGTCGAGGCAATCAGCAAGAAGCACTCGAGGATACCGTATCGAGAGTCGAAGATGACGAGGATTCTATCGCTGGGACAGAACAATGGGCTGACTGTGATGATCTTGAACCTGGCGCCGGTCAGGTCCTACCATCTGGACACAATAAGCTCACTCAACTTCGCCAACCGCACGAAGAAGATCGAAGTGCGCGAGGTAGAAAATGAGCCAATGTTCAAGGGGCCCCCTAGACCAGCATCGCGGCCTTCGGTGACAGCCCAACGGCAACCCCTGCGGCCTCTGACAGCTTCCGTGAACGTGAACCTGACTGCCGCAGCCAAAGACAACACCAAGACCCTCGAAAAGCCCGCAAAGGCTTTCCACGTCTACTCGGATAAGACGCACCCTAGAACTACCACACAGTTCAAGAAACCCGAGCCCCCTAAGCGGACTTCCATGAGCTCCCGGCCTTCTCTGAGTTCCGATATCACCCGCCTCTCATCGAAGCCTTCTCGTCTCGCTCAACCAACACAGCAGCCTCAAAAGCACCATGATGACATCTCCGCCGCCAAGATCGAAGAGATGGTAGAAAAGAAGGTTGAGGAAATTCTGGCTGTGCGAGCCGTCAGTGAGCAGTCGAGACAAACGCAGGTCCGCGAACTGAATGAGCAAGTCCAGCGGCGTCTGGAACTTCTCGAGCAACGCATCGAAGGCTCCGAAGATGCAAGGGCCGAAGGGTTGTCATACCTGCTCATGGCCAAGCAACACCAAGCACGTGGCGAGGATAGCTTCGCTCTCAGGATGTATCAGCTAGCCCTGCCATACTTCCCGGACAATGAGAAGTTATCCAGGAAGATTGCCAGCTTGAAGGAGCGTATGCACGGCAAACCGCGCCAGGACGCCGACACCACCGGCACCATCGGCCACTCCGGCCCCAAGAGAGAACTCGGCAGTATGCTATCCCTCAAGAAGCAGCCCGCTAAGACGCACCTCAAGCGCGTTGCTGAAGACTCGGACGCGGACTACGAGGAACCCGAAGCGGCCCTTGAACAATTCAGCGACGAAGACATCGAGGAAATCACCCACGCAAGACGCAAGAAGCGCACAAAGACCAAGTCCCCACTGGACGATGAACGCGCCAGCATCGACATGATGAACGAGGAACCACCCTCCCCACGGACAATCCACCTCCTCTCCATCATCAACTCGCGCGACGTCAGCCAGATCAAGTTGCTGAAAGGCGTGGGAGTCAAAAAGGCCGAGGCTATCGTTGACTGCTTGTGCGAGATGGATCAACACAACACCAGCCAAGATGAAGAAGCGCGCTTTCACATCAACAGCCTTGCGGAGCTGAGCCAGCTCAAGGGAGTGGGTGTGAAGAGTGTCCAGAGCATGCGAAACGGAGTTCTGGTATAACAGTACAGACATTGTGCATTGTTTCTACGTTTGGAGCTGGGAGTTCACTATATACATTGTCGACTTGCATTTCCTCTTGTTTGCTTGCTAGCATATCTGTTTTCTTGTGGCTTTATCATTCATTGCCGTGGCTTTGCACTGCACAGCGAAGGTGTTTGGGAGTTGAAAGAGAGGATCGAATCGAAACATCTATATAGGCATCTATCTATTCCAATTATTGCTCAAGATACTCTAAAGCACTATGCCATCTATTTTCGTTAACTTGCTTGTTAAATAATCCCATCATTTTACCATAATATAACCACCATCACATCCCCACCCACCCCCCTCCCCCCAACACAACAAACTCGAACCAACACTCAATCTCAAACCCTCTTCCCCCACCACCCCCTCCACCCAACAATCCTCCCCTTCGCAGCACAATAAAACCCCGTCCCGGCAAGCATAACCACCGCACAAAACACAAACAACTTAGTATAACTTCCTCCCAGGGGATCCGGCAACAAGGCGCCCGCAATCGGCGTGCCCGTGAGCGCCGCAAACGACACAATACAGAAATATGTCCCGCTGCGCACACCAATCTCCCTGATCTCGGAGATCTGGGCCACCAGCGCGGGGGCAAGACTCACCACCGTGCCGGAGGTGAAGCCATACAGGGCGCTGAAGACAATGGCGGGGGCGTTGCCAGTACTGGGAAGCCAGAGTGCGAGAACGAGGATCCCGGATGCTAATGTCATTAGGATCATGAGGTTGAAGCGTCCGAAGACGTCTGCCAGGTAAGGTGGGATTATGCGGCCTGGAAAGCTGTATATAGGTCATCCCCGGAGGGGGATGTGGGGTTAGTGGGTATTGTTCTTGAAGGATAGAGGTGGTGTGGGAATAGGGGAGGCGGTTTACCTAGCTGCATTAAGGACCGGAATCAAGTACGAAGCCAAGGTAGGGGACATGCCATGGCGCTGAGCCTGGGAGGGAATGAACGAGAAGGGAAGGAACATGCCCCAGAAGAAGCAGAAGGTTCCGGCGGTGGTGAGGATGAAGGGAAGTTCGCCGAGGGGGCGGACGAAGTCGCGGATATGGTATTGTTTTCTGGTGTGGACGAGACGGGAGGTGGTGGTGAGGTTTGTGATGATGAGGAGGAAGAGGATCAGGAAGCCGCAGATGCGCATGGCCCAGCCGAAGCTGAGGAGGTCGAAGAGGCGAGTGAGCATGATGGGGAGGATGACGCCGCCGAGACTGGCGCCGCTGGTGGCGATGCCTAGGGCGAGGGCGCGACGACGGCCGAACCAGGTGCTGATGGAGTTGACGCCGGAGTGGAAGAGGGCGCTGTTGCCGATGGGACTGCAGATGCCTTGGGCTAGGAGGATTTGGTAGTATTCGGTGGAGATGGAGGTCATCATTATGCCGAGGACGTGGAGGATGGTGCCGACGAGGATGATGTAGCGGGGGCCGTAGTTGTCAAAGAGGATGCCGATGAAGGGGCCCTGTTTGTTGGGTGCTCTGTCAGTTGGGGTGTGATTGATGTTGGTGATGGTGATGGTGATTGGGGGCAGACGTTAGGGCTGGGGGGAGGAAAAGACGGACCCCGAAGAACATCATGAATGTCATTAGCGATGTGATCCATGTTATGGAGCTAGTGGACATGTCGCTCAATTGATGAGTCTGGTAGTAGTCGATGAATATCCCCATGCCTAAAGTTGCATGTTAGCTAGCAAGCTGCGCAATCGTCATTTGAGATTGGTTCCCAGAAAGAAGGTGTTGACGAAGTGTCTGATATCCAACACTCACAGTTATTCCAGCCAAAACTCACGAACATGCTACAGAATCCGCCGAAAACCGTCATCCAGGCTGCGAGTCCGCCATCTGGAGGTCCCTCAGGTGTCGATGCTGGCTGGTGGTCCTGGACAATGACGCTGGATTTCTCCGACGTATGACCTGCAGTTGGATTTTCCCCGGGCTTTTCTCCGGAAGTCGTAGTGCCTTGTGTATCGCTTTGCTGCGCCTCTACATCGTCACTGGTATCCGAAGCAGATACTGGTAGCTGAAAGGGCTCTTTCACATCATCCTCCACGGGCTCGCTGGCTGGAATGGCCTCATTCGGTTGTTGCTGTTGTTGTTGCGTCATGGTTTCTGCAGCAAAATAGGGCTGGCTTCTGTCACAAGGATGTCTGTTTCCCGCTGCTGCGAATTAGGGAATGTGATATTGGGGGCTTGGGCGTGGGGGAATCTGGTGGCATCGATCTGGGCCTCGAGACCTTAGATAGCGTGGTCTGACCCCGGATTCCCACAAGTGATAAAAAAAAAAAAGAGTCGACCAGCGGTGTGATTCTTCGTGAGCATTCCGAAGGGGAGGTCCTTGCTGTGGACTGAAAAGGGAACGTTTATGTTTGTGAGACAATGAGGCCCCTTGCGAGATCCCTTCATTCATGGAAATTTCCCCCCACCACATGTCAACCGGTTTATACGTGGGTGCCTGTTGGCTAGGTGGTTTAAGACAATGCAAGGCGGGCAATTGGTTCGATTTGATCAAGATCACCAACAACGGAAAGAAATAAGGGAGAAAGGAGAAATAACGTTCACGTGGGGTGTAGACGGACACAAGCTATTGTCTATAGTACATTGAGCCTGCAATGAAACAAAAAAAATGAAAAAGATACCTGGATGTCGGGGCGCTATGATCTATGCGTGAAGAACAGCAACATATTGATACTGTTTCAGCTTAGTTTTTCTGTCCTGTCTTTTCAATAATGACCTTGCCCTCCTTCGTCAAAGTGGCAATGCTTTGCTCCGTGCCCTTGAGCTCATTGGTCAATTCGTCCACAGTTCTGTGTGGTCCTGGTCCAGCATTAACAGCTTCCTCAGCAGCCTTCACATACCCATCTCCTGGTTGGCGCTTCCCCTCAGTAGGCTTTGCCGGGCCAATGGTCAAGCCTCGAGGCGCACTGGCGATTTCGTTAACTTCGTGTGAGGTCAGAACCTCGTTGATACGAGGACCGCGGGTCTGTAGAAGGATGGTCGAGGGTCCATCGAATTGGAGGAACAACTATGTAGGGTTAGCAGCAACTTGACAGCCTCGCAGGATGCGACATACCCGATCTCCCCAGATGGTCTTCCGAGACCATGTACGGATTGTGTGCATAATTCTCATCGTCGACTTCCAAGTACTCGATTCCGACATATCCTGGATGAATTTGGAGTTCTGGATGAAGGCCGGGAGACTCTTAAGACCCGGGACCTGGAACCTCAGGGTCGTAGACTTGAAGCGATAGGGGCGTGGGGGGTTGGACGACATGGTGTAGGCAACGACGTTGCTATGCAACATCAGTAAAAGCTGGCCAATCTTGGCGACAGGACGTGCTCACCTCGGGTGAACGATGTATTGCTCTCCAGCCTTGAGCTCAACGGAATAGAGTTGGCCGTTACCAACTAACGCCAACAAACCTCTTCCTGTGACCTCGGAGCTACCCCAGTGGGCAAGGCTCTTCGCGGGTTAGTCTAGCCTCCATACACAAGACCCAAGGAGGATCACGAACCAGACTTGTGTTTATAGTTGGGCGGATAGAAAGCGAGCGACCCGTCCAGGCAAGCAATGCCCGTTTCTGGGCCACCATCCAATCCACAGAGCCATTCAAGTGAACGACAGCGAAGGAGGTATTCGGAGAACGAACGGAAACCAGCGCAGTCACTGGACTTGCCGAAGACACCTAGCAGTCAAGTGTCAAAAACCATACCAACTGTTCCAATCCTGGGGAGGCCAGCCTAACCTTCTGGTAGAGGAACGGCACGCCAACGACAGCCCTCCGGAAGGGTTCTAGGACGCTCAATGTAGAAACCACCTGCGTTGATGCCAAAGTCGTTAACCCTAGAGCAGCGTACAGGGTAGAGCATTAACCACAACAACATGCGCATACATTGTCTGCCTTTCCACTCAATCCGACCAAGGTACCCCGACGAGTGTATAGGTTCTGAGAAGCGGAGAGCGAAACCGATAGTAGAGAGTAGGGCGCGCCGATGACATCGAATCGTGCATCTAGTTATGATTGCGGCTTGTTAGCGCGGTCTGCTCGGGTTTTGAAGCGGGTTCGGGGTCCAGCCTGGAGACTTACCGGCAGACTCAGCAGAGCTAGGGGTGCTGGAGATAGGAAGATGGTCGCCATTGACGGTAGCTGGCTCCTCCGCAGGCGCCGCGCGAATCTGGACGCATCTGGTCTGCCATCCGCGGCGCAGCAATGCCCCTTGTCGCGCCCGGGGAGGGACGACTCGAGTCCAGGACAGAGTCCTCGCGGCACTCCTCCAAGGTTGAGCCGATACCATCATGGAGGGTCTCTGCCGAACGAAGTGCAGATGGGGAGAAGCTGGGGTTGGGAATGCAACTGCTCGTCCTCCGCGGTAATTCTTCTTCTTCGCCCGGATTCACGCTTCCAGATCGGGAAAAGCGCTATTGCGGCTTGGCACTGCGAACTTGTCGATATTTAAAGCTGTTTCATCCACTTTTGCCTTGCAGTGAGGGTATGATGGTCACTGTCGCTGGGTATATATTACTATGAAGATGGCTCAGATAATAAAATCTGTGCTGAATATCTCAATCCGATGGTGGTTTGGGAGATATAAGCTGTGTTGCACTGATGTCATACCCATCTCACGTGTCTACCTGGACTATATGAGAGATCTTTTAAGTATCCCCTCTATTACTTCAGTGGACTATCTACCTGACTGCTACCCGCTAATGTCCACTATATAAGGGCATATATCTTCTATTCCTGTTAGTAGCGATGAAGCTGGACCTGTGTGTTGACCATGTTCTTATACAATATCGGCACATTACCTTCACGACGTCACTTACTTTCCTACTAAGGATGACATACTTATACCGGATACCTTCAAGCTACACAGCAATTGCTCAAGCAGAAATTGATTAAACTGAGAGACGACTCAATTCACGTAGACTTATGAAGAGATGTGATTAAAACATCAGAAACACAGTATGTTGCTGAACTGCCGCATTCGTACCGAGAGTAACGTAATTTACCGGAGACCTGGAGATACTCGGAATCGGCGATTGCGACAGAACTGCCTTTCCTGGTGCTATCACTGCAGCCTCCCTCGCTGAATCACCTCTACTTATTTCTCCATAACTTCCCCTTCTAAACACTCAATCAATGACCCGCCATACAGGGTGTCGTGAATAAACATCGCGCTGATCCACCGCGGTCCCCAGTACCTTTTCCATCTCACGCCCTCATACTTTATCCCCCGCCGCCGCCGACGTTTTCCTCCGAACCCGGCGGTCCCCATCACGAGGCGGAAATTCGCGCAGGGCCTCACCACCACCGCAATGCTCCATTGGCTATAAAGACGGTCCTTGCACACCTCTGGTCGCTGTGAAGAGCATCAACCGACCATCATGCTGCCCAGGGCGGCCCGCACGCCTTGCTGGCGTGCCTCGGGACGCTTTCTACACCACACTTCAGCCGTTCCGCGCCCAACGTCATGGGCGTCAGCTTCCTACGGCTTTCAGCTCAGATCGTTCTCAACCACCAGAAGCCCACTGAGGAGCCAGACCTCTCAGAATACCCCGACGAAGTCGCAGATACCAGACCCCAAAGATCCTTCTACGACCCGACCCAGCGCTGCCAATGTCGTGCAGAGTCCGCCGGGTACCCAAAATGCTACCGCGACCCCGAAGAAAGACCTGCTCAGCGAAGCTACCGTGGGGAGAAAGGAGCAGAGGAAGGCGGACTGGGCGATAATGAAGGAAATGGCGAAGTATCTCTGGCCTAAGGTGAGCTAAATTCGCGGCGTTCTGGACGATCAAGGCTTGGGGTGCTGATAGATAACGGTGCAGGGTGACTGGGGAACGAAGCTTCGTGTCGGTACTGCCCTATCGCTGCTGGTAGGAGGAAAGGTGAGCTATGCTACCTACTGTGTCTCCTGCATCAGTACTCACTATCCAACCAGATATTGAATGTCGAAGTACCCTTCTATTTCAAGAACATCGTTGATTCCATGAACGTGGACTTCTCGACCTTTGGCGGAACCGCTTACACAGTCGCAGGCTCGATGATTATTGCCTGTAAGAGATCCCCGCATGCAGGAAGACTGTATCTAACAATGGTTACCAGACGGTGTTACTAGGATCGGGGCTACACTCTTCCAAGAACTGCGCAATGCTGTGTTCGCCAGTGTTGCGCAGAAGGCGATCCGCAAGGTTGCGGGAAATGTATTCAAGCACCTGCTCCAGCTCGATCTTAACTTCCACCTCTCTCGGCAGACCGGTGGTTTGACGCGAGCAATTGACCGTGGAACCAAGGGCATCAGTTTCTTGTTGACGTCTATGGTTTTCCACGTGGTGCCAACTGCCTTGGAAATTTCTCTTGTCTGCGGTATTCTGGTATGTCCTGCGCTGCACCATCTGTCCAGATATGGCATTACTGACTGTGATAGACCTACCAATATGGTGTCCAATTTGCGGCGATCACAGCCGCAACCATGGTGACCTACTCTGCTTTCACGATCATGACCACCGCCTGGCGAACCAAGTTCCGCAAACAGGCGAATGCTGCAGACAACCGTGGTGCCACCGTTGCTGTCGACTCTCTGATCAACTATGAGGCGGTTAAGTATTTCAACAACGAGAAATTCGAAGTTGCTCGCTACGATAAGGCCCTGAAGGCCTACGAGGATGCTTCCATCAAGGTCACGACGTCGCTGGCTTTCCTCAACTCCGGCCAGAACATGATCTTCTCGAGTGCCCTGGCAGGCATGATGTATCTCGCCGCCAACGGCGTTGCTAGCGGCAGTCTGACTGTAGGTGACCTGGTCATGGTTAATCAGCTCGTCTTCCAGCTCTCGGTCCCGCTCAACTTCTTGGGCTCGGTGTACCGTGAGCTCCGCCAGTCTTTGCTGGACATGGAGACCCTCTTCAACCTGCAGAAAGTCAACGTGAACATCACCGAGCGACCGGATGCCAAGCCCCTCCAGCTGAAGCAGGGCGGCGAGATTCGATTCGAGAACGTCACCTTTGGCTACCACCCCGACCGACCCATTCTCAAGAACGCTAGCTTTACGATTCCTGCCGGCCAGAAGTTCGCTATCGTTGGACCTAGTGGTTGCGGCAAGTCGACTATCCTGAGACTGCTGTTCCGCTACTACGACGTCCAAGAGGGCCGGATCCTCGTTGACGGTCAGGATGTACGCGATGTGACTCTGGAAAGTCTCCGCAAGGCTATCGGTGTTGTGCCCCAAGATACCCCTCTGTTCAACGATACAATCGCGCACAACATCCGCTACGGCCGAATTGAGGCGACCGATGAAGAAGTCCACCAGGCGGCGCAACGTGCACACATCCACGAGCTGATCCAGAAGCTGCCCGATGGCTACAAGACTGCGGTGGGTGAGCGAGGCATGATGATTTCTGGGGGTGAAAAGCAGCGACTGGCCATTTCTCGACTGATCCTGAAGGATCCGGAGCTGCTGTTCTTCGATGAAGCGGTAAGTCAATTGTTATTATTCAGCATAGCAGGCGGCTAAGTATACTAATGATGGACGGGCAGACGTCCGCTCTGGACACCTACACGGAACAAGCGCTACTGCAGAACATCAACAGCATCCTAAAAGAGAAGCGACGCACGAGCGTGTTCGTAGCGCACCGACTGCGCACGATCTATGACTGCGACCAGATCCTCGTATTGAAGGAGGGGCAAGTAGCGGAGAAGGGATCGCATCGCGACCTTCTGGAGCAGAATGGCATCTACGCCGAGCTGTGGAACGGTAAGAGACCCGCCGTCGGAAGCCCGGAAGGAGTTGGTGTATTTCAAACACGAAAGCTAACTAAATCCTGCGCCACAGCCCAAGAAATGTCCCTCGCACAGGACGTGGACAGCGAGCCGACAGCTGCGGAGGAAGAGGAGAGTACTACTAAGAAGTAATGCAGAACGCGAGGCACGACGATAAGCAGCAAGCAATCACCCAATGAAAGGGAATTGTATGATTCCCTTCCTTTCCTTCTTTTGTTCTATATTTCTTGGCGCTTTAGACTTTTTTTGCGACTGAACGATACGAATGGGAAACTATCAAAGTAGATATCTACACAATAGCCACTATATGTGTAACTATCTACGTTACTAGTCAGTTGTCCACCAACTTACGTAAACGCCCTCCTCTGTGGCTGTCGTGTACGTGCACCATTCGGTGAAATGTGGGAAAGCCACCTTCCCCCCAATCATCCCACACGCAATTTAAACGACGGACTAGTCTACCGGGTTGCCACGAGGGGAACTGAACCGAAGGAAGGCAAGCGGGCGGTTCCAAAAAAAATAACTGGAGCCGTGGAAAAGAAAAGCACGCAAGGCAAGGCACGGCCAGGCCATTTAGACGGAACCACCGGCACATTCGAAGTTGGCCTTAGCGTCTTACCCCGTCTCGGTTCTACCCTTTTCGACCCAGCGAGCGAGCCGATCTGGTACGCAGGGTCTTGAGTCAGGGAGAACCAGGGATAAGGAGGAGAGAGTGATAGAATGATATTGTATATTCCATGTTGAACGAGTGAAGGAATAATAATGTTCAGAATTGGATGGTTGGTGCCCAAGTACGAGCACAATTCGATTCGTGGTTTATCTATCTGCCTGAGGGTGAGTCTAATGATGTTAACCGTGCGTTAGGGGGTAACAGAAGAAAGAGAAACAAATCTCCGGGCGGGAGGTGGGGAGGTTTTGAGTTTGAGGAAGGAAGAAGAGAAGAGAAGAGAAGTTCTGGATGGATAATGGATGGAAAGACTCGCCAATAGCGGGAGATCATAGATGATAGTGTCGGTTAGATAGGTAGATGACTATCTCAAATGAAGAATAAAAAAAGTCAATTGAGCAATCTCTGCTACTTTGACTGTTGAATGACTCTTCTTGAGAAAGATAGTCAGGGGTATTGAAGAGTCTGGTCTGGTCTGTGTGGTGGTGACGGACGTCTAGTTCGTGGTCTAGTATTTCCTTAGTGTATTTGGATTCCGTACCTGACGGTGGTGGGCATACTTATTCGAGGCTACTGATTGGCTGGACTCCCCTGGCTAGGCCCAGACAGGAAGGGACGCCCCTCCCCCAAACCACGTTGCGCCTTCCTGACTGGTGGTCGGTGCAGCAAGTCCACACCCGTCCGGCCATCGTGCCTTCCAGTTCCTCTCTTTCCCACACGTTTTGTTCGGTTCCTTCCTTCCCAATTATTCCCCCAGTTCCAAGTCAGTCAGTCAGTCCGTCGTTCTTTCCACATTCGTTGTTTTCCCCTACTAGTATCTCTCTAACTATCGTCATCGTCTCCATTATCTCCTCTTTCTTCTGCTGCTTCTTC